GTTACCACATTTTTGTTATTATTCCACAGATCGATTCTGGAATGACTAGCGAAATAGGCTGCACGATCTTTGTTTCAGAGTCTTACAAGGTATTCACTTCAGCTCGATCAAAATTATCCGATCCGATTCAACTCCAAAATGTTAAATACTCACACCTGGGTAATTTGAACAAATTTTTAAAATAATTAAAATTACAAGTTGTATAAAATCGTGGGAAAAATCATGTAAAACTTTACTTGAATTCATTTTAAAATATAACACTTTTGCTTGGATTTGTATTTTTTTCTTTTTTTTTTAAGATATTTTTACGTTATGTAGCAAGTGAGAAATTGAAAAAATTTCTATTCTTGAAAATTGTAAAATTCAAACTTCTTCAAAAATGTTGAGAATTTTTTCGTGAGTGGATTCACTATGATCTAGAAAATTCAAATTTTGTCTTTTTTCAGTATCTTAAACCTTACTGTAAAGAAATTCGGTACAGAATCCACGTAATAAAAGAAGCTTAATATTGTAAGCGAATGTTAGCCACGCCGCCCGTTCCTAGACGTGGGAAAACTTCCTCGCCTATTTTGTAGAAGAGGCCACTCGAGATTAAAGACCGTGGGCCGATTCCAATGTTTATGACCGACGCCTGTAAAATCGAGCTACGGTATTCGGACGAGGGTTGGACCGAGGAAGATACCCGACCGAGCACACGAAGCCAAGCGACACTCTGTCGGCAGAACGTCGTCGAAATCGCACGTCCGAACCAGTCTTCAGTTTTAGCAAGAAAATACACTTTGTTATTAACGGGAATTCCATTGTAAAATTATTGTCTACATATCAGAAGTGGGATCACCAACTCCACTAAAGAAACTTTAGTGTGTGCAGCGAGCACAAGATAGTACGGTACCGTATTACAAGTGTCAGAGTGCGATGCCGAAGCAGTCGCGAAAACGTGATTACGAGCGGAGATCGAAGGCGTCGCGTAAAGCGGCTAGGCGAGTGAGATCATTTCCATCTCGATCCAGGAGCCGATCCAGTGGTTCGGAGGACTACTATCGGGAGGAATCGAGTAGGTACTATTATCACCGAGCCTGCACCCCGAGGGACCGCAACTCTCGGCGAGAGGAGGCGTCGAGGAGCACTGAAAGGTGGAGGAGAGACAAGAGATCACCGAGCAGGAGCCATTCGATAGAACGACGGTCAAAGGATAGATCGACCGGGAGGGATGATGGTACAGGGATGTCTGGTGAATCCGAATTTGCTAAGTTGACTTCGGCGTTGACGGAGGCTATCCGCATGGGCTCGAGTCAGGCAAAACGTGTTGCGAACGAACGGATTTTACCGGAATTCGATCCGGAAGTTGGGGGGGTATCCGTGACAGAGTGGTTAAGGAAGATTGACGAATGTTCGAAGATATTTCACTGGGAGGATACCGACAAGGTCTATTTTGCGACAATTAGGCTTCGCGGGCTCGCGAGGAGGTGGTATGATGGACTTAAAAGCTAACTTGGGCTGAGTTCTCGAGCGCGATCGTCCGGCAGTTTTCGGCGGAGGAGAACTTTGGGAAGTTGTGGGACGACGCAGGTTCGTACAGAAGTACCCCGGGCCAAAGTCTTACTGCGTATTGCTTTGAAAAAATTGCGAGAATAAATAGACTAAACCTAGACGTTCCCGAGAAAAAAATGGTAGAATCTATTGTACGGGATACACGATGAACAAATTAGGATGAGTTTAACGGCAGCAAATAAGGCAACAATTCCCGAGCTTACGCGCTGTTTGGAATCGTTCGCGGTAGAACAGGCTGGGCATTCGAGGGAAATCAAGAAGGGAAAGAAAATAACAGGTCCGGAAGGGGCAAAAGATAAAGGCAGACGGGTAAACAGAGAGGCGACATGTTATCGTTGTGGGAGATTGGGGCATAGAAGAGCTAATTGCACCGGAATTAATCCGGAAAGGAATGATGCTAAGGACGACCGTAAAACCGACTGGGAGAAGGGCGAGAAGAGTGTCCCGAACGCGACGGATAGACCGTTTTTACTCCATTAAAGGTGTTCTGAGTGTATTTCTTGGGTAGTAGGTTTAAAATAGTCATTGATCGCAGTGCAATCCGAGCTACTGCGTTGAAAAGGACATTCAGCCCCGGTAAGCCTGTTAGTGGGTTTATTTACAAGATTACGATTTCAACATTACTTATTGTCCGAGACGGGCGATAAATGGGTTGTCCCAAAAATGTCGCGTTTCATTGTAGTTCAGTATTGCCACGACGAACAAAGACGCTAAGTATATCGCGGGAAAACTATAAATTTAAAGGTATTTATTATACGGAAATTTATTTCAAAATATGTCCGGTCGAGCCCTAACTGCTTGTATTATAAGTCTTCGGGTGGTCGAAAGCCAAGATTGTTACCCCCTATAGAAAAGGTCATACGATACATTTAGATCACGTGGGGCCGTTCGTTCGTAGTTGTAAAAAGAATACTCAAATGCTTGTCATTGCTGATTTTTCGTGCTCGAACCCGTCCGGGACTCGTCTGTGAAGGGCATCTTGAAGTCGCCGAGTCAACTAATAGCAATTTTTGAAGTACCATCCTGCATCGTGACCGACAAAGGGTCCGTGTTTACGTCCTACACATTTGAAACGTTTTGTATTGAGCACGGCGTCGAGCATATGTTAAATGCGTTAAATAAGTGGCTACACCGTAGTGCGGACGTACACTACGAGCGGATGAACCGCACAGTTCTGGGTTCGCTCACAGCTACCTGCGCCGGTAAGGCAGAGGAGCTTTGGGACGATGACGTCAAAGAGTCCAGAGAGTGATTAACTGCTTTGTTAATCGAACTACGCAACTTTTGTTTGATTACCAGCCGCGTAGTATGACGGACGCTGGGTGTCGGCTCAGGTTCAGGACACTTTAAATTAGATAGATTTAAAGGTATCCCGGGACGAAGTAAAGAGGGCTACCGATGCGGAGCAACAATACCAGAAGAGGTTCGACATACGGAGGCATAAGGTTCCGAAATATGACGCGGATGACGTCGTTATGATCGCAGCCAGCCCAGCGGTAACTGGTCAAAGCAGGAAGTCGGCGGCGATGGGACTCTTCGAGGCGACAGCTGTGCTACCGAACGATAGGTACGAGGTGTAGGAGGGATTCGAAGAAACCACCAGGGCCGAGTTCAGGCTTCCCAGGTGTGAGATGTGGTCAATCTTATGCTGGAAAGGAGGTCTGGGCGTAGGCCGGGACCAGAGTCGAGTTCAGGCTTTCCAGGTGTAAGATGTGGTCGGTCTTATGCTGAAAAGGAGGTCCGGGACCAGGATCAAGCCTAGCATGAGATGGAAGTGGTTGGTTGCCCCAGCGACCGGTAAGTGCACGAGGGCGAGGCTGGAGACCAGGCAGCCTGTCGAATTGGGACAGTCGATCGGATTGTCTCGTTCAATCTACCGAGAAGGATGTCTAGTCCGAAAGCGGCTGCTGTATCTTTATCCTGATGTAGGCCGGTGGTTGTCCGAAGTTCGGATCGCGATGATGTCTCGGAACTGATCACTTCGAGATGGTCGGGGTTCGAGTTGGACAAGCACCCTCGGATCATGAAGGGTAGTACTAAGTCAGGCATCCGTTAACTATGTTACAGGAGGTATGAATATACCGCGCGTCGAGGGCGACGGCTAGGTCAGTATGGCCGAGTGTAAGCGAATGTTAACCACGCCGCCCGTTCCTAGGCGTGGGAAAACTTCCTCGCCTATTTTGTAGAAGAGGCCACTCGAGATTAAGGACCGTGGGCCGATTCCAATGTTTATGACCGACGCCTGTAAAACCGAGCTAGGGTATCCGGACGAGGGTTGGAGCGAGGAGGATACCCGAACGAGCACACGAAGCCAGGCGACACTCTGTCGGCAACCAGTCTTCAGTTTTAGCAAGAAAATACACGCTTAGTTATTAACGGGAATTCCATTGTAAAATTATTGCCTACATACCTTTCAAACAAAGAATTCTCGAAGCCAAGATTTTATATCTTTGGAGTTTCACATCTCACGCCCTTCAAATTTAATCCCGATCGGTGGCCATTTAAAACTAAACAAATATGTATATGATAGTCAGTCATCAATTGTTAATCAAGATAATTTTACGAAGTAATTTAGTTAGCTAAAAATTATTTTTAAAAACAATGAAATATAAATAATTATATACTTAAAATGTGTGTTAATATTAAAATATGGATACAGCTCTTTGTGATACATAGATGCATGATATAAAACGGAATAGTTTCAAATAATTTCAAATAGGTTTCTTGTAACGGAATTTGGAGGCACAGACGAAGTACAATATGCATGTATGTATTCACAGTGTTGTTAAACTTTCAATATCGAAGTGCGATGCGCTAATAAATGTGATGAATCTTTCTACTATATATCACAAAGAGCCCGACCCATATTTTATGGATTTATCACAACTTTTTCAAATACATGGAAAATTAAAATTTTAAAATTATTAATACATGATTTTATTTATAAATGATTTATACAATTTATGTTAAACAATCTTGAAAAAAAATTTTAATTAACTAAATTTCCAACTATTTTAAATTATTATTAATATTAAAATATTAAAATTATCATTTGATTTTAATATTTTAATTAAAATGCTCTGTCTCTGCTCGACTGTAAAACATCATTTAAAAAGACTCGGCATAAAACATAGGCAGGCAGGGGGGTCACGCCGTCCACTTTAGATCAGCGAGTCACCATTTGTTCTTCGCTGCTGACCAGGCATGAAACCGATCCATTTCTGAAAAGAATTGTTACCGCAGACGAAAAATGGATACTTTACAGCAATCCACTTAAAAAAAAACCGGTTTAAACACTTCAACCATCTTTGACATTAAAAAAGATTCTTTTATGTATTTGGTGGGATATTTCGAGTGTGATTTATTATGAATTATTAAAACCTGGTCAGTTTATCACAGCAGAGATTTACTGTGCGCAATTGATGAAAGATTAAAGGCGGAATTATTAAAAAGACGATCCGTCCTGGTGAATAAACAACGATGCACCTTGTAACAAGACAATGCGAGGCCGCATGCAGCGAGAATTTATGATTTCGGTCGCTGTTTTTAATGTTTTAATTGTTTGAACCACCGTTGGCATTTATAGATATTCAAAATTTCGCCATAAGTTTCATTAACATTTTTGGTAACTTCTTTGGGCTTTAATACTTTATCAATCAAAAATAACAAAACACCGCAATTGCACCTCTTCGATCTTTGGCCTTAACATTTTTACTATCTGTAAAAATAAAAAAAACGAAATAAAAACAGTAAGTATGAACGACATTACTTTTCGCTTTACCTAATACAATATTAAGTTTAGTTTTTTCTAGTTTTACGTATGTAGATATTATAAGTGTATAAACACTTTTGTGGCTTTATATTTTACATTTTTATATTTGACGTTTTTTTGTTAATAAGTTTAATAAACAATGTTATTTCTTTAACATGTGTCTGAATTGAATTAACACACAATTTTATGCAAAAAAAAAATAGCTTAAATTACTATATTTATTATAATAATTAAAAGTTATGAGGTATATGAAGACTTTTGTGACTGACTGCATATCTTTCTCTGATTTGTACTTTTGTTCTTGAAGTAACGATGGCTCCGAACTTAAAGATGGCTCACAGCGCTGATGAATTCCTAACAAACTACAGTAGGGACTCCCGTATCCGAACTAATAAGGAGACAAAAGTGGCCGGATAGTGGAATTTTCGGATAATAGAACAATCACTTTCTTTTGCATTAAACTTCATTTATTCAGGTAGAAATGAACTGTTCGGTCTTGCCGAACACAATGGGGATGAAAATCGTACCGCAAAGGACAAACTCATCGAGCCAGGGAAAGCAACTTGATAACTTCTAATTTCTCGACGGCAGGAATCTCTCGTGACCATATTTCATGTCCTTCGTTACTTTGTATCTTCTATTGTAGTCGTACCGGACTACCAATTCCAAGGCTCGGTAAGTTTTTTCATCGCAATGGTCCCCATCATAAACGAATTCGAAGAGGAGATGTGAAAAATAAGTTCATCGAGCCAACAATAAAACTTTCATATTCACTTCCTTCGATCGGATGCCGAAGGAGCAGGACGTCCAAATACTATCTGTGTTGTACCCACAATAAGCCACACAAGTGCACACAGGCACAGCAGTTCATTCTAATACTAGTGTCAGATAAACCAAATTCTCAACACACGGATGGAAAATAGTGGAATTAAATTTAAGGGTATCAGTGTATCAGAGTGGCAATAGAACAATGAACCCGAGTGAAGTGATTTAAAGAAAATAAAGAACAAGAAAAACGATCAAGACCACCACCAACCTAAAAACAGCCAGCGGCCCGGCGCAAAACTCAAATTCAAGATCCAGAGTTTACATTAAAAACACCAAAAATACTACTTAAGCTAACAAAAGAAAAATTAAACATATCAGAAAATGAAGGAACTATCGACTGTGACGACTACGAGACGGACACCTCGAACATGGAAACAGACGCAAACAGCAAAGCTAAAGACCAATGGAAAATACAAAAGCAAGCTAAAAAAAGAAAAATAACTCTGAATGCCAAAAACGCAACTACAGCCCCAACTCTAAAGCTAACTAAAATACACTCGAAGGAAAATTGGCTTGGAGAAATACCAATAAGGAACAAATTCCAGGCACTCCAAAACCTAACAGAAGAAAACGAAACGATCACCACCTCACAACCCAAACCACCTCCCATATACATCGAAGCTCCTAATATCAATCCACTAATAGAAAAACTAAATGAAATAGTAGGCCCTACAGAATACACTCTGAAGCAATTGAAAGACAAACAAGTCAAACTACAAACCCCCAACGCCTATAGAGCCATGATACGAACGCTAAAAAAGAAGAATGCAGAATATTATACATTCCAACTAAAAACGGGAAGAAAGTTTAAAATGATTAATGTGATTACACCCAAAGTTAAATATAAAATACATTAAAACAGACGTACAAGAGAAAGGACACAAGATAAGCAATATTATTAATCTCACAAAAAGAGGTACGACAATCCCACTCCCAATGTTCCTGTAGAAATAGAACAAGCCAATAATAATAATAATGATATATACAACACATCAATCGTATGCAATACCAAAGTTAACATAGAACCGCCAAGAACTATCAGAGAAATGCCTGCTCTAGATACCATACTAGGTATGGACATATTAATAACTATTACAATAAACAAGCTAGATGAGTGAAATGTGCAGGTACCCATTCCACCGAAAACTGTCCAGTGGGTAAAAGAATAGACAAAGTAGTCTGTGCTAACTGCGGAAACAACCATCCAGCAAATTATAATGGCTGCATGGTAAGAAAAGAGCTGCAAAAAAAACTATTTCCCCCTTTAATAAGAGACAAAAATTAGCACCCTCACAAACCAACACTGCAAACACCAACACAAATGTTAACACAAATATCAATAAAAAATACAGGAACTATGCAGAAGTACTAAAATCGAACAACAGACGCAACACTAACGAACACGAGAGTAAACAACCAATTCAGATGCAAAGACTGGAAAAACTTGAAACACTAGTAGAAAACTTAACACAACAAATGATTGTAATGCTAAACTTATTATCGAAACCAATCACGCTACAGGAACAAACCCAAGCAAAAAATTAAATTAATGCAATGGAACAGTAACGGGCTACAGAATCGGATACCCCAACTAAAACTACTCCTAAAACAGCTTGAGATAGACATTATAGCAATCTCAGAAACACACGAAACGAATACAACACACTTAAAAATACCATACTACACCTATTACGGTACACTACACCCTAGCAGCAAAGCACGTGGCGGATCGGGAATTTACATAAAAAATGATATCAAATATGCACAAACAAGCTCATACCAAACTGAAAATACAAGCAACAACAGTCAACATTACACTACATAACCGAGATGTTAATATCTCAACAATATACTGCCCACCAAAACATGCAATATCAACAGAAGAATACAACAAATTCTTTAAGAGCTATAAAACAAAATTTATAGCTTTAGGGGACGTGAATGCAAAGCACAACTATTAGGTCTCCAGAACAAATAACCCTAAGGGAAAGAATCTCTACCAGTGCATAAAAATTAACAACCTAAAAATCTATGCATCAGGGAGACTAACCTACTGGCCATCAGACCCAAACAAAACACCGGACATCCTAGACACAGCAGTCACGAATACAAATTTGAACATCAAAACTGAGGAGTTGCTAAGTTCAGACCACACACCCACAATCTATACGATCGACCAAAAAGTAACAAAAGACGAAAAAACAAAATTGACAAACGCCACTACGGACTGGATAGCACACGCAGAATACATTAATAAAAATCTGAACTGCAATATAATGCACTAGGCATAGAGAAGGCAGCTGAAATACTAACAAGCACATCGCTACGAAATGTGCGGGTAACAGAACGTCCGTATATTAGGGTATTCGGATAATGAAGGTATGGATGCGGGAGTCTCTAATGTATTTAAAGGGACATAAGTTTCGGATTTCTTATTCAAAGCATATTTGCTGAAGTGCATTCTAAGAGCATTTTGTCTAATGTTGTTCTGTTCGTCAGGAAACGAAAATATAAAAAATATAATATTTTAAATTTAAAGCCAGGAAAAGGATTATAATAAACAATTATTTTTGATTCTTTTTAATTATTTTTATAATTATTTTCAAAAAAATTATATAAAATTATATAAAATTCTTATTTCTTATTTTTAAAAAAATTATATAAAATTATATAAAATTCTTATTCCTTGAAATATATATTTATTTATTTTTCATAGAACAATATACTGTTGGATTCCCTGTAATGGAATTAACACGTTTACAATTTATAAGAGTTTATTCCCTTACAGTCGTGGTCGTGTATGAAATAGAATGATATAAGAATGATTTACAATGATTTAGAATGTCTTAGAATATGATGAATGTCTAATCTCTGAAGCATGTCCTTATATATATTCAGTTATCATCGTCAAGTGGAAGGGGAAGGAGCATAGATGACCAACTATCGGATCTTGCCCTTATGACACTTTTATGTGGACTGTTGTTAGCTCATTGTCAGTATTTGCATAGATTCAATATTGTCCGGGTTGGTCATTCAACAATACATAAGAAATAAATAAATAATACATTTATTATTTTGAAAATTTGTTCTTTTCATTTTGATTGTTTATCAAATATTTGAAGACAATTCAACTTTTATTATTTAAAGAATAACTCACTTTCCGCTGTATTGATAAAGCCAAATTTTCATGAATTATAACTGATTTTTCCAAAACAATATTGTGAAACTTGAACGAATTTTAGCAAAAGAAATAGAAAAAATGATACTATATAATATTTAGCATGCCTTTCTTTCATCTTAGTTTTCCTATTATTTTATAACGCAGCGATAAAGAATTAAAGAATAGAAATAGAAGCAAGAATGAAATAATGGAATAACATGTTCATGTCATCAATAATACGTCTCATTTGCTTTAATATTTATTATTATACTTTTGTAATTGTTTTTAAATGCAATATTTATATTTCTATCACGAAGATTTGTCAAAAAAAGAATTAATATTCAACAAATTACATTTATGAAAAGCGACGATATCATTTGCGTGACTTTGTTGTTTGATTTTTTCATATCCAATATAACGGATATGAAAATTTGAAACAATTATTTTTGTTTCATTTAATTCAAATGTGAAATAAGAATTTTCTAGAAAATCAAAAATATGGATTAAGTTATTTTTGATGTCATTTAAATGATTTTATTTAATTCTATTTAAATTTTATTTAAATAAAAATTATACTTTTAATTATTACTCATTATTTAAACTGATTTGCCCAAATGATTCGAATGCGGATAGTCGATATTTCGGGTCGAATTGGATAATTTTGGTTGAGCTCAGGCGGATTCGGAAACATACGAAAAATTTTCTAACTCGTGTGTTTCACTAGTTTAACCATTTCATCGAGTTGACAGACAGAACAGCAACAGAAATGTGGCAATCAAGTGAGACTTTTAGGCTTCGACAACTACGCTTTCGTTAGGAAAACTGAAACTTGTCTCTTTGACTCGCTTTTCTTTTCTCATGCACCATAGCGAAGGCAATTGGATGAAAATGTAAACTGACTACTTCCTCATCAATTTCGGTGATTTTTGAATATATTGTGAAGGTATTTTGAACAGGAGTGGTTAATCTACAAATTCACCGGCAATCAGAATGGAAGGAGAAAAATGCGAATGAGTAAGGTTTTAAACTCATAATACTAACACATATATGTTTAATGTTAATATAATATAACATAATGTTAATGTTAATACTAACATATGTATATATCATTAAGTCACTCATACTTTATATCATTTTTATTAACGATAACAATAAATGTAATTTCGGCAGTCAATAATGCAACTCTGTGAGTCTGTCTTAATAAATAACATTGTATTATAAAAAAGAAAATATGTACGGTATCGTTCCAAATATAATATATTCCAAAAATAAATTTGACTTCGAAATTTCGAAACGAATGAATTTTGCAAGAAAAAATTTACAATACATAATGTGCTGCTTTGTTCCAAACAATATTTGTAGAAATATTTTATTGATAAGTCCAATCTTTCATAAAATCGAGTTAACGAGATAAAGCTAATTTATTCAGGCTGTGAATTTACATATTTGTGAATAAAAAAACATCGTATCTAATTATATTATTCATAAAAATATCATATTTCAATAAACTTTTTCTAATACTTTTAGATGTTAATAGTCAAATATATATTATTTTTTATCCCAATTTTCATCAATCGCTGCTAAATCGTTATATTTCTTCATTGATAAACCACTACGTTTAATTCAATAAATAATTCTCGAAACAAACTGACAGCTGTTCATATTTTTTAACTTTAATTCTCACCATAACTAAACGCTGCAGTGCAAAACCTGTCTAAATCGGTACGATAAAATGTAACACGAAAATGGAAATTTTGGGATAAAAAAATACATTGTATGCTAAGTCTATTCCTACACCTCGTTTATGGTCTGAACAAAAACATGGAGTTTTTAATACTTTCTGAAGTTCAAATGTTTAGCCCAAAGTTTTATATAAAATATGTATGTATATTTTAAATATAAAAATTAAATAATATTGTTCTTTATTATTTATGTCTTTCATGTAATACATTCTCGAGTAGTGTAGTAATTAAATAAAATTACAAAATTAAATAATTTGTCTCGTGTGTATTTTTATTTATAATTGAGTTTGGTATTCTTATACATTCCCTTTATGTCACGTATGGAAGTGAATGTCTCCCTTTTTTTGATATTTAAATTTCATTTAAATTGATTTTTAACTAGTAGATTAATAAACAATATAAAAATTTATATTGAAGTTGGGAATAAATTTACTGTATATGAATATATTACAATGTTTGAAATAAAAAGATGAAATCAGATAAAATATATTATTATAGAATACAAGTAAACATAAGTTGAAAGTGTTTATATAAGAAAAATGAAAATAGAAGTGGGGAAGAAAAACTCTATACATTTTAATATATTATATATTGTTATATATTTATATTGATATATTTTCTGTTTACTTTTCTAATTATTAAAAACTTAGTTATCTATAAAACGTATCTAATAAAACTTTTAAGATCTGTACAATAAAAATTTTCTTTTAATAGGATATCATTCATGCTTATAGTGGTGGTTTAGAAAACACATTAAGGATTTTTCTATTTCTATTTTTATTTTATTCGTATTCATTATAATGTAAAAAAATCATGAGAAAAATTGTCTTATAGAATCAATCATGGGAACACATGATAAACCAATTAGAAAAATTGAATATCGTGCTGCAGTAAATGCAATATTAACTGGTGGATGGAATGCAG